AAGTTCAAAGGACAGTGCGCCTTCGCACTGACCAACCGTGTCAGAACGGAACTTTATTCGTATGACAACTTCACCTTCAGCGGGAACGATCCACCTGAAATCAAAAGCGAAGTGTAACCGTATGATACGAAAATGTGATCCAGAAACGTCAGAAGTCTGGAAAAAGCTGGCAGTGATTACAGGGGCAGAAAATACTAACGACTGTGTCATAATGTAACCCAAGTACCTCTTTGGAGCCTCCGATTGATCAGATAGTTCCTCTACGACTTCGTGTAGCTTTGCCTTGGATGCCGCGGCCGAAGTTCGACGTTTTGCACCTCCTCCATATTTCTCGCGAGCTGATATAGACTGAAGTTAAAAAGCAGAAATTGCACTTTTTAATGTGGCTTTATATTAATTGTGCCTGAAAATTTCCAAGCTAAGTGCTAGTGCGGGGAAACAGTGCTGTGCAGTGCACACCGTCCAGGCTTTTTCAATGCCAAGTAAATTTGTACCTTACAAACCAGTCAGCATACAGGTTTTATTTTATATTTTATAAGCAATGCTAGTGTAGACTGATGAGGGAGGGGCTGGAGGTGCTCGTAAGGTTCGTACCGTATAAAAACCTCTAAGAAAAGTGACACTGTAACTGCCTATTTTGTCTGCTGATCAGATTTAGGCATGCTTCTAAGGGTATATATACTCCATAAATTGCAAATATACTGCATTAATACATTAGGGAGGAGCGCACAACTTCATGTACTAGAAGACGCAAGAGGAGGAAATACTGCGAGGCAGACGGGTGCACTTGCGCTAAATTACGCTAAACGTATATATTCCCATGTTGAAAACCTACGCCCAACATTAAGGGTGACCTAAACCTTAACCCTAAGCCTAGCCTTAACATCAAGCCTAATCCACTTGGAGAGTAGCGCAATGCCCCCAGGGTAAGGGGCATCCCCTTTCCGTGTCTTACTTTCTATACAAATGAGAACCGTGGAGCTTGAAATTCACTGTGCTGACGTAGTTTAGTTGACCTTAACCGGTTTTAGTAGGTTGGTCTAAGACTGTGTCCACTGATCACATACCCTCTGCCTGGAATCAACTAGAATCTAGCAGACTTGTCACAGCACCTGGAAGCAATGTGTATGGATTCAAATGTAATACGCATGCGCATGCCCATTTATATCACTAACCAATCAATGTGTTTTACATAATACTTTAAAAAAGTTTCTGATGCCTTCACTCTGTGTTTGTGCCTAAACTCTTGGTAATGATATGAACTATACAGATGCCTCGGAATTTCTGGTGATCGCATATTAAGTACCGTTTCCGTCATTCATAAAAACGAGAGAATGGGGATTTTGTGAACAATATTTTTACGCAAATGTACGAGGGCGTCCACATAGATTGTTTAAAATCCGCAAGGCGATACTGAACTATGAAAATGTTAACCGCAATGTAATTCAATCGTGTATAAACAGGACTCACCTTGCCATCTAGCAAACTTGAATGTAATGGTTGTTTTAGATCAGTCGAGGTCGGTGCATATGGGGCAACAATGGTGAAGTTCGCTTTAGCCTCTCTCTCCTCCACAGTTTGACTATCGCAAGTCTCCTGACTGTTACTTTTGGCTATCAATGTAGTTGGAGACAACTTAAAGGTCCCCGACTCTGGCGGTACTACAGTTGGTCGACGGATGACGGAGAAGATGGCGGGCGGTGGGATAGGCATCCCATGTTGACCTATTCCCATTCCTTCCAGTACTGTTTCTTGACTAGGTAGCAGCGGTTGAAGTCTATTCAGCAAGTCATGAAGAGAGAGCTTGGGACGCTGGACCTCTGGCGGCAGAAGTAGACTCGGTGGCGGACATATGGGCTCACAAATTTCCAGGTCTTCCGACAATGGCAACCTGTAGATGAAGTGCGGAACACCGATCAGCGGCGGTGTGTAGAGGACTTCCTTCTTCGAGCTTTGTATACGTCTTCCGTCAGCACAAAGGTAGACGGGAGGTAGACCTGCTGTTGGTGAGGATTCAGGGATCTGCTGCATACCGGAATCATTAGTCTCCCTGCGGTTTATTAATTTGTTTGCCGGGTAGAGGCTCAGCCGCTGTTGGCGACGTGAAGAGGCGAGTTGATTTGTGCCCGCCTGGCTAATGCCGCTTTCCCTACCTTCTCGATTGGCTACGGATGTATCGCCCTCCCGCCTTCTGTCCCACGTACTCAACAACTCACAAAGGGCACGGAACTCGAATTCGAAAGACTTGAACCTATAAGAGTAGGCAGTATAAATGGTTAAGAAAATTTTCACAAAGATCAAAATATCATCGAAATATGACTGCACACATGAGACTCTTCATGTAGCTTAAGCGAAAGCAACTTCATTCAGCAGATGTCACAATACATATCCGCGCCGAATATTCAAGAGTATGAGACTGTGCGAAATGCACTTAACTAAACTTCTGTCTATTTGGTAGTAATTTAAATTT